AGATATGGAGATAACGGGTCCCGTTGACGAAGCCCTCCGACTATACCGCACACCATTAAAATTAAACGAGTAGGTGGCGAACGTTACACAAGACTGAATCAACTGAACCGATCGAACACACTAGGTGCTGCAAAACTCATTTTTAGCATAATACGTTCCAAGAAAACTCATTCAACTCGATCATATACTTTACTCATATCGAGTTTTAAAGCTGCCCAAGCAACCCGACCACCTCGCTTATTTTTCAGGGAATAAACACATTCATAACCTAAGATCGCATTGTCAACCACGTATCGGCTCGAATAAAAGCACTCTGATTATGTGAGATAATATGATTGAGAAATCCTTTCATCTGATTGACGAATGCCTTCAAAATCAACTTATAAACCACATTAAATTGCAAAATTGGGCGATATTCTGTAATATGACGGGGCTATTTGACCTTCGGAATAAGAACGATCGGTATGTCATTAATGGGCCCAGGGTAGGCACCATTATTTAAAAGCTCTAAGCAGCTCTAGATTATGGAATGGTCAAGTGTTTCCCACTCATTGCGAAAAAAGGCTCCAAACAACCCATCAAGCCCTGATACCTTATCAGGATGGATTTGTTTTAACGCTGAAGAAATATCCTGCGCAATAAAAGGCTAAAGAAGAACAGTATTTATTCCCGCGTCAATTGTTCAAGGAACATCAACCAAAACACGACAAATATCTGTCACAGAGGGCAAGGAGGAAGTAAAGATAGTAGAGAAATATTCTGAAATCATACCTTCAATGGTAACCGAACTTGTGATCCATTGACCAAACACATCCTAGAGCCCAGAAATAGTGTTAATTTTTTTGCAATACGAGGTTCGATTGTGGAACCAACTGGTATTTTGGTCACCCCACTTAAGTCCGTTTTCCCTCGAACGTTGTTTCCAATAAACCTCCTCCTCCAAAAGAAGGTGTTTGGGGAAGGGAATACCCTGGACACGTGGAGGACCCCTATTGGTGCTCCAAGATGGCTCATGAGTCATGCCCAGCTCGGATAGCCGAGATGGCCGCCACTAACGTCGACAAATGCTAAGTATGAGGGCCGAGGTGAACCTGGCCCAGGTCTAACCTACCGGGGAGCTCGGTAGGGGCCGATGTGAGCAACTGTCTGCGGCGTGATTATCGGGCGTAACCGTCGGTCCCGAGATTACCGGGTGTAACCGACGGTCCCGAGATTACCGAATGTAACCGTCGCAAGATTAGCGGGACTACCACCCATAAGTAGAGGACCTCACTCCCGATCAGGTACGATGATTTCTGGCCTCGAACTAAACCGGGAATCTGACCTATACTGACTTGATCGTCGGAGTGTTCAGCTTTTTGTGCAGGTCCGCCCAAGCGTTCAGGTCGGTCCGGAGGCCGAGTTCGAGCTGCAATCTGGAACACACTATTGTGCACATCTTTGCATAAACAGTAGTAATATGACGCCTTGGCTTGTTGGTGGTGATTTTAACGAAATATTGTCTCCGGACGAAAAGTCTGGTGGTACTGTTCACTTAGTTTGTTCCATTCAGGATTTTCGCAAGGTCATTGATGACTGTTGCCATTTGGATTTGGGTTTCAAGGGCCCTTCATTTACGTGGACCAATCGTTGGCCAGGGACTACCATTATTCGTGAACATTTAGATAGAGTTCTGTGCAATCTTGCTTGGCAATCTTTGTTTCCTTACAACACCGTTCAGCATCTGGATTATTATAAGTTTGATCATCGACCATTGTTATTACAGATTGTGATGCCCCCACCCCAGGTTTAGCTCACAAAATTAAATGTTGTTTGCCTCTTTTGGCTAATTGGGAGCATTCGAAAATTGGTAGGTATAGAAAGAAAATTGGTCACCCCTACAGGTTTGCATTTTCGGCCTAACCGAGATGAACGTTTTGCCGCCGAGGCTTCCTTGGAAACCCTTCTGTTTATGCAAAGATATGCACAACAGTGTGTTCCAGATTGCAGCTCGAACTCAGCCTCCGGACCGACCTGAACGCTTGGGCGGACCTGCACAAAAAGGTGAGCACTCCGACGATCAAGTCAGTATAGGTCGGATTCCCGGTTTAGTTCGAGGCCAGAAATCATCGTACCTGATCGGGGAGTGAGGTCCTCTACTTATGGGTGGTAGTTCCGCTAATCTTGCGACGGTTACATTCGGTAATCTCGGGACCGTTGGTTACACCCGGTAATCTCGGAACCGACGGTTACGCCCGATAATCACGCTGCAGACAGTTGCTCACATCGGCCCCTACCGAGCTCCCCGGTAGGTCAGACCTGGGCCAGGTTCACCTCGGCCCTCATACTTAGCATTTGTCGACG